TATTTTAGGAATTAAGCTCTCAATACAATGACAGCCATATATATATATATATATATATATATATATATATATATATATATATATTATATATATATATATATATATATATATATATATATATATATATATATCGTAAAGCTGGTGGTGGAGGGATGGTTTGAACGGAAGGAAGGGGAGAGGGAGGGAAGAGTGAAGGAAAGATGAGGCCACAGTAGCCAGTGGGTTTCACTGTGCATAAAGCATGAGCCGGCACACATCTCCATTATTATAATAGCTCTGGAAGGGGATGAGCCGCCATGGTCAAAGGTAAACACAAAATTTGATACAATAAACCATACAAGGGACGTGTTCAAAGTTGGCACTGTACCTACTGGGTCTTATTTCTTATTACTTGTCCCGTAGCTCCGTTGGTAGTGCACTCAACTCACACACTGAGGTCCGTGATTCGATCCCCGGTACGGGTAGAAACATTAGGACGTGTTTTCTTAAGACACCTGTTATTCCTTTTCACCTAGCAGTAAAATAGGTACCTGAGTGTTAGTCGACTGTGTGGATCGCATCCTGGGGACAGAATTAACCTAATTTGCCCGAAATGCTCTGCAAAACAAGGGCTTTCTATTAGTATATAGTATGTCACTGATGTCGGCTAGTCTTGTATACATTGTACATGTAGAAATAAAGATTATTATTATTATTATTATTATTATTATTATTATTATTATTATTATTATTATTATTATTATTATTATTATTATTATTATCACGCGAGTTGGGGGCTCGGTGATGTACAGATAGACAGATGAGTGTATGGAGAGGCGGATAGATGATGGACGAGTGAATGAACTGGGTTGGGATTGTGGTGATAATCTTTCTATAAAGTTTAACTCTTGAGTGTCAACTATCCCATAACTAAATTGTATCGATATATCAATAGATATCCTCGCCTCGATAGATGTATAGACATGCGGAAAAATGAGCTAGGGTTCAATAGTTTGAATCCCATCTACTATTTATAACATATTTAACCTCGACTTACACTTTATCTCCAGAAAAGTTTTGGTTTATTATTATTATTATTATTATTGTTATTGTTTATATTATTATCATCAGTTTGGTTTTAAAATTGGTTAGATACATATCCTTGTAAATACAGACGTAATAATAGGATATTACACAAATAACCCTTTGTAAATGGTCCAAGTAGGACCGAAACGTCGTGGTAAGTTCCTCTCTTCTATGTGCGGGTTATTTGTGTATCTTTCCAGTCACGGTATTGTGCCTTTTTTTTGTTATTTAATAGGATATTTACTGAGAAAACATTTTCTTCTCAGGAGCTTTACCAATCTGTAAGCGAAACTTATACGTCTTATTTTCATACTTATGAGTATTTTATGACATCACTCACCTAATTATGGGCCTGCCTGTGTGAGAATGGTCGAAAATGAATTGACTGTCTAATACGCCCCAGTAGGCTTCACTCCTTAAATCTTAAATTATTATTATGCTATCCCTCTCTCTTATTCCCCCCCCCCCTATCTCTCTCCCCATCATCGCTCCATGAATGTAGGCTCAGTGACTTTCAGGTAAATGCTAGTATTTTTGTCAAATTCAAAGCCGATTACCGTGAACCTCAACACGGGGCATTATGGCGACCCTCTGGCTCTTTTACCAACCACACACCCCTGGTCATTTTTCGCATTCTTCGATCCTGATTTCCTCTGATACCCCCATATTCTTCGCCGAAGAAAAGCCATTTATAAATACGTTTTGTTTTTTGTATCTGTGTTTATTTGTGTCATGACCCTATTTATAAGGAGTAAACTACAAGACACTCCATTGTGGGTTAAGTGGAGGTTAATGGTTGTGTTTTATAATAATAATATAATAATAATAATAATAATAATAATAATAATAATAATAATAATAATAATAATAATAATAATAATAATAATAGGATATCAAGGGGAAGCTGTCATAGTTGCGGTTTGCAGATGGCACAGTGATTTTTGGGAGAATGGTGGGATTTGGAAGTGTGGAACATGTTGAAGATACAATTGAACCCAGAGAAGACCAAGGTGGGTAACTAAAATTTCGTTGAATGAAAGAGTGAAGAAAGAAGTTTGAAGGGAGAGGCTGTATTTAGTTATTAGGTAGACTATGTATCATCAGATGAGTTTATGAAAGATGAGGTGAATTATAAAATCGACGAAAGAGTAAAGTCACAGGAATGTTGAGAAATACGCTATTGTAGCATCAGTACCAACACCTCTGTTTGTGGGTGAGGCATAGTCACTGAACGCTGTAGTTTGATGAGGCTAGTCACGGTGGAAATATTGTGTCCGATCAATGTGTGTGATGGGAATAATATGCAGAGAATAAAGAGTGGAGGAATTATATAGCGTTGTGGTTGATTTCTTGTTTTTTTAGGTTCAAATTTTATCGACTATGAATTTCATTAAGGCTGTTTTTCACCTGTACATCTCTACTCTGATACATTTCAATCCCTGGAATAGGATTCCAGTAGCTTTGAAAGTATACATAATGCGAAATACCATGTAGTCTCACACTGCACCACTTAACTACCATAGAATAAGGCAGCTGCACACCTTATTTACTTAGTTGTAAATACAATACAATGCAACACAATTTTAAGACGAGGTTTGGTAAATCTCATGGAGCAGGGAGAGAGTGGACCTAGTAGCGATCAGTGAAGAGGCGGGGCCAGGAGCTATGATTCGACCCCTACAACCACAAATAGGTGAGTACACTGGTCAAGCACGTCAAGAAATTAGAGAAAGTGCAAAGGTTTGCAACGAGACTAGTCCCGGAGCTGTGGGGTATGTTCTACCAGGAGAGGTTAAGGGAAATCGACCTGACGACACTGGATGACAGGAGAAAGAGGGGGTATATGATAGCGACATATAAAGTACTGAGAGGAGTTGACAAGGTGGACGGAGACAGGATGTTCCAGAGATAGGACACAGCAACATGGAGTCACAATTGGAAGTTGAAGACTCGGATGAGTCACAGGGATGTTATGGAGTATTTCTTCAGTCATAGAGTTGTCAGGAAGTGGAATAGTCTGGAGAGTCAGTGATGTAGTGGAGCCCCGATCCATATATTGCTTTAAGAAGAGGTATGATGAGGCTCATAGAGCAGGGAGACAGTGACCTAGTGACCAGTGAAGGGGGGCCAGGAGTTATGAATCGACCCCTGCAACCACAATTTGGTGAGTACACACACCCGGCGGGATCATCTATCCTTGGAAGAATGGCAAGCTCTTAGCATGGGACTACACCTGTGTGTCGCCGCTGGATGATCCCTACATCCGTCACAGTGCTGGGCAAAAGGGAGGTGCTGTAGATCAGAGGGAGGAGTACAAGATCTTCAAGTACCGAGACATAAGCCATCAGTATAATTTGTCCCAGTGGGATCATAGACCTTGAGATCATGGCGAAAGAACGCCACACATTTCCTCAAGGAACTGGGTTCCAGACTCGCTGACAAAACCAGGAACCCAGAGGCGACAATGTTCATGTTCCAGTGCCTCAATGTGGCCATCCAGCCTGGCTGGCAAAGCTCTCGCTTCACACATCTGTTGTCCTGTTCACCTAGCAGCAAGTAGGTACCTGGGTGTTAGTCGACTGGTGTGGGTCGCATCCTGGGGGACAAGATTGAGGACCCCAATGGAAATAAGACAGACAGTCCTCGATGACGCACTGACTTTCTTGGGTTATCCTGGGTGGCTAACCCTCTTGGGTTAAAAATCCGAAGAAATCTTATCTTAATATGATTAGTGCTCTCTTGTGAATATAATAATAATAATAATAATAATAATAATAATAATAATTATTATTATTATTATTATCAATATTATTATTATTATTATTATTATTATTAATAATAATATTGATAATAATAATGGTTACTAAGAAAATAATACTAATATTCGCTACGTAGTCTACCTTTTTTTTGTCCTACCTCAGCTTATATCTAAGATGTACTAGCACCCTCTTCGGGATGCCAGTCGCAACAGTCGGGTAGCACCCAGGTACCTACTTACTGCTAGGGACAGTAAGATAAGATTTTGTTCGGATTTTTAACCCCGGAGGGTTAGCCACCCAGGATAACCCAAGAAAGTCAGTGCGTCATCGAGGACTGTCTAACTTATTTCCATTGGGGTCCTTAATCTTGTCCCCCAGGATGCGACCCACACCAGTCGACTAACACCCAGGTACCTATTTGCTGCTAGGTGAACAGGACAATAGGTGAAAGGAAACGTGTCGGAATTTCCACCCGCCGGGAATCGAACCCGGGCCCTCCGTGTGTGAAGCGGGAGCTTTAGCCACCAGACCCAACGTAGCCACTCGTTTCGGGATCGAACCCTGGTCACTCAGTTGTGAGCTGAGGGTGACTACGCACTGGTAAGCTGCAAAATTTGTAAGGTCATTTAGACACAAGTACACATTAGTACAATTATCATACATAGTGTAAATCACCTAGGATAACCCAAAAAAGTCTGACTAATTTACACTTGGGTCCTTGTAATATCTTATTATTTAAACCTTATTAAACCGATCAACCTTACATCTGTTACTGTCCAAAATATAATTGATAAATTGCATTTGGCCTGGTTGAATTATCAGGTTAAAAGTTACCGATTAGGCAATGGTGACTAATAACCCACTTGAAGTGGATAGTGTCCTGTATGTTCACTGTGCATCCAGGGTTCCTGGAATGATCGTCTCGTGGAATGAATACAAAATTAACCATTGTAACCGCTGTGTAGACTAATTTTTCCATATATGCTGCCAATATTTCAGCTTGTCCATTTTACCCTATTTAAAGTTGCCGCCGCAGAGAGCTCACGTATAAAACGACTAGTATTAATGCCATTTTAACCCCCTGTCACTTTGTTGAATAACGACCTGATGAATATTTTTCGAGTATAATGAATTTGGGTTAATTTGAGGCAATTTTTGAGGTTTGTGGATGATAGATTTAATATGTGGTAAGTTTAGAGAGGTGGGCCGCCTCGAGGAAGATGTCGGATGGTAGGCTCGGGAAGCTTTCTCGTCGCATTTCTCGCAGGATTGTGATATGATGAAGCAACAGGGCCATGAGGAGATCAACACTGACCACAGGGGAGAGGGCTGACAACCTAGAGCAAGTGAAGAAGCTTAACAAGTGAGTAGCAGAGTATTAAGTTGTCTTATGTTATCGTCATCCACCTGCTACATCATCCATGACGTCAGGTCAAGGTTATCTAGTGAAATTTAGTGGTGTTTTGAAAGGTAAATAGAAGCATTTGTACTCGGAATTCCGTATTTAATATGGGGAAAATGTCAGCCTAATAGTTTATTAATTTTAGACGAGGCTCGAGGTCTTTCCCACAATCTTATGTTGTCTCGAGTATTTCTCATTCTCTCTTGTATTTCTTATTTCGTCATGGTATTGCTTTTCTGATTGTTGAAATAAAATACATTATAACTTTCCAGTTGGTAGGTTTTTAATTTCAAGATGGAATTTTACCCATTCGTTTAAGATCTTCCTTAATCATTTTTAAGACCTTAGGTACATTTTTTATTTCTTTGGTTAACTCGAAGTTTTTTAGTATTGCATAACCATACGAGTTATCCAGACGGCAGGTTCCGTGACGTGAAATATATCCACCAGTTATTCAACAAAACAGGTTAGGTTAAGTTAGTTATTCATGAATAAGACGTGTCCAACACCAGAGGACCTTTGTCTATAAAAACAAAGAGATATTCCAGTGTATGTATATATGTTTGTGTGTGTGTGTGTAATTTATATTTATTTATTTATATATTTATATTTTCCCAATATCGGGACTATGTACTGGAGATAATTGGAGAGGTAACTTTAGGGGTTCAACCCCCTCAGCTTTGATAGGCGTGTTCAGTTCCTGAACTGAACCCAATGGAAATAAGTCACTTTGACTTTTTGGGGGGTTAAGTAGGTTTATTCAGGTGTACACAAATACATATATGTGTAGAGAATCTAGGGTAACCCAAAGGTGACTTATTTCCATTGGGGCCATAGGTAATTTACACTATGATAATCGTACTTATGTGTAAATCTTCTTTCAACACGCCAAACATTTAGTAATATGTATATACAGGAGAAGGGGGTTATTATGTGTAAATATGCCTAAATAAGCTTGCCAGTCTTGATAAAGCTGTAGTATATGCATGTGGCTGGAGACTTGCATAAGTAAGTTTATTTATTTAGGTACAGTTATCTTAATATTTAAAGCCTAGCTGTAAGTTACAGTAGAAGTCACTCATGATTATAACCTTAAAAATACAGGCCTAGCTGACATCAGTGACATGCTTCTATATAGAAAACTGCTTATTATGCAGAGCATTTCAGGCAAATTAGGTCAGTTTTGTCCCAGGATGCAACCCACATCAATCTACTAACACCCAGGTACCCATTTTACTGATGGGTGAACATAGACAACCAGTGTAAGAAAATACGTCCAATGTTTCCACCCCTTCACCAGGAATCGAACCTGGACCCTGGCTGTGTGAAGCGAGAGCTTTTGTCACCAGGCCATGGGGCACCGTAATGTAATGATAGTTGTCTTACACAGCAGTACTGTGGAATCTTGGTATAGTGGATATCTTCTACAACTCTTTAACAACTCTTCCTCTAGTAAGTTTATCCAGACACAGGTACACATAAGTACAATTATCATTTATAATGTAAATTACCTAGGATGCCAATCACCTGCGAGTTTGTCATCAGTTGCTGCACCTCTCCATTGGGTCCATTATCTAAATCTCCAGCCACATTCATCTACTTCTATTTTATTAAGCTAAGGCACTGTACGTTTCTATAAAGTTTGAATGTCTGTACACCTCAAAATTTCCTCTCCAATTCTTAAACTGTCTCCAGTATATATTCTCAACATTGCATTGAAAAACTCGCTAGATGGTGGAGCGTCTTCATAAATAAAGATACCCAGGTGTTGCACATATCTTATTCATCAACTTTTTGGTATTATATACCATTGATGTAAGGTTAATGCTTGCTAATAAATTTAATAAATTGATATATATATATATGGGAGAACTCTTTGCCAGTAGGAAAATATCAGAAGCTCTTGACCCATCACTGATGTGGTGGTGATGTTGAGATCACTGGTATTCTATTAAGCTTGTATGTAGGTAAGATAGTGAAATTTGTGTAGTGTAAGATGTTTGCTTAAGCTGTGGTTTTCATTTGTTTTGACGTAAGAGATAATCTAGATAATGTTTCATATTTGTATCTAGGTCATATTGAAAGGGTACTACATATACTATATTTGTGTTTGGGTGATGTGTCATTGATGTGTTGGAGATAGAATAGCCAGCATATGGTGCTATCATAGTTGGCAAGACTAGTTCTGTCTCAGTTGCGAGACTTGAGGTTCTTATGAGGAAATTTGAAGTTAAGCTCTGTAGGTTGGATTAAGTTCCCAATATTAACATAAACAAAGCATAAACTGGAGTCAGTTAATTAAATGAAATTAGGGGCAGATCGGTGATCCAAGTATGTCTTATTGAGTGTTTGATGCAAAAAATTTCCCTTGTATGTCTTTACTTTTATTCAGTAGAAATTCTTACATTCTGAGATGTCCCTTTTTCCCCAACAATCTGGATACCCCCACAAGTGAGACTAGCTTTGAAGGAAAGGAGAAAATTTGGGATTAAAAACATAAGCATATCACAACTTACTGGTGACTTTTGTAACCTATCCTGCTGTTAACTAAAGTTTATTTCTATGTGCCAAGTACAAAACTCAGACAGTTCTGTTTTGTGTGTAGCCTGTTTGCTGCTACTAGAACACCATCTTTCGTTTTTAAAAATGGCACGTGTTTTATACAGTTGTCTACAAGTAGGCCATCAGAGTTTCACGGGTCTTCTAATTCGATATAAAAGTTGTTCCAAGTCACCATTAGACACAGCAGTTTTTATTTTTTTCTTGTCCATCACAAAAGGTAAATAAAATTATTCTAATGTACTTTTAATTTCTTTAATTTTAATGCTTATTATATCTGTAAATTGTGTATAGTACTACACTTAGCATACAGTAAAACAGTACCTTTTCTCTTCTGTTTTGTAACATTATTAGGAATTACTAGACAGTCTGCATTATTAGACACTATCTCCTCTCTAGTGATCCGTTAAATTGAAGATTTACAGTAATACACTAATGAATTTTGTTGCAGTGTATTACTGTATTACGATATAATAGCAACATTGTTAATGCAACATACAGTACTGTACTCTTCTGTATATTACACAATGTAATATGATTGCATGTCACTTTATTGCATCTTTCCAAATGCCAATATTTGTTGTACTGTACTTAGGCATGTGAGCGAGTGTGTTCGTCGTGCAAATGCAGCACTGGGAGAGGCAGGAGTGGTGGGGGCCTTGTTCACAGCTCAGGCTGTTGGGGTGCGAGCCAGGCTGAGAGATGCATGTGAACGAATTATTTTGATGTCCCCTGGTCCCCAAGCACGCCGCATGGAGGAAATACTCTGGCGCAAAGTCTTTTACGAGCCACTGACTTCAGCAAAAAAAATGAGGAAGGTATGATTGCTTAACTATTTTGAAATACTATAGACGTTTATAATTTCCAGAAGAATTAGCCAGTTTAAAATTTTTAAATGTTTATAAATCCCATTTTTTTGGTTTCAGGGTAATACATGGACAAGTAGTGAAGCATGTTGGGTACATAATCACCTCTGGACTGGAGTGGCCTACTACCACCAGCTATTACATGCCATTTCGTCCTCAGCTCAACCACAGTTTCGTCTGGCAGACTTATTGCCTAATCCGAGTAATGGTTAGTTCATTCAGGAATAAAAATCGTTTTAGTTTTCTTTAGCTTTTATTATGGATTTATTCATTTTAGGAAGCCTTGTATGGTTTTTAATAAATTGAAGAGGTGTTGTAAGGGAGAAAAAGCAATAATTAAAAATGAAGTCAATACAGTGGACCCCCGCATAACGATCACCTCTGAATGCGACCAATTATGTAAGTGTATTTATGTAAGTGCGTTTGTACTTGTATGTTTGGGGGTCTGAAATGGACTAATCTACTTCACAATATTCCTTATGGGAACAAATTCGGTCAGTACTGGCACCTGAACATACTTCTGGAGTGAAAAAATATCGTTAACCGGGGGTCCACTGTATTATGCTATACCTAACATTTAACGCAGAAATGCTATTAAATTGGTTAACTTATTTAATTAGTTGGCCAAAGCCTATATCAACACAGAGGGTAAAGATGTATGCAGTTTCACTCTGATGGCAATGAATTTCCACATTTTATATAACTTGAAGAGGCAATTAGGTTATGATTAGTAATATGGGCTTTTCACTCTCGCTTGTATTTTTATCTATGTAGTACATTCAGTTTAGTTTTGTGAAATGCTGACAGCAGCTCGTCAAGTCAGTACAACTTCCCTCTGCTCGTTCCTTTCAAACATGCTCAAAAAAAAGCCTGCTGGATGTCCAAGCTCTTTGCATGCAAAACCACTTATACCCCTCCCTCCTCCTTTTCCTGGGATGATCCCTGCCCCTGTACCTAAATTTGTACAACCTCCTAGTCATCAAGTCTACTTTGTCTTTACTCTTAATTCTTTCAGTATTAACCTTTTCACTGTAGAAACCCCTGCTCACAAACTTGCTCTGTCGAAGAATTTAAAAAAAAAAATATTATTTTTCTTATGAAATGATAGAGAATCTTTTCCTGATGGTATTAGCACCAAAAATACGAAATTTGATGAACTGCCTGAATTGTGCTCTCACAAAGTTGGTGATCTTGGCGACGTTTACACATCGGCGATTTCGCCCACTTTGAGCCCTTTTTTTGGCCAATTCCAGGATTCCAGTCTACCAAACTCAGCTATTTCTCTGAAACTCCTTTTGTTCTATCTATTGAGTACAAGAAACTGCCCATTTACCAATTTCAGCTACCCAATAAAGTGATCAGAAGTTAGTAAGTTGGCCAATTTCATACACAATTCAAATAAGGCCAATTTCAAAATGGGGTCCAGAATTAACAGTACAAACATTCCCAGCACTAAAATAACATTATTATTATTATTATTATCACAATGGCCGATTCCCACCAAGGCAGGGTGGCCCAAAAAAGAAAAAACTTTCACCATCATTCACTCCATCACTGTCTTGCCAGAAGGGTGCTTTACACTACAGTTTTTAAACTGCAACATTTACACCCCTCCTTCGGAGTGCAGGCACTGTACTGCACTGTTCTCTTCATTAGCCACGTCTCCAGGCCCCTCTTCTATTACGCTTACTTTCCATTTTGAATTTTTTTTTTTTTTTTTTTTTCTCAACAAGTCGGCCGTCTCCCACCGAGGCAGGGTGACCCAAAAAAGAAAGAAAATCCCCAAAAAGAAAATACTTTCATCATCATTCAACACTTTCACCACACTCGCACATTATCACTGTTTTTGCAGAGGTGCTCAGAATACAACAGTCTAGAAGCATACACATATAAAGATACACAACATACCCCTCCAAACTGCCAATATCCCAAACCCCTCCTTTAAAGTGCAGGCATTGTACTTCCCATTTCCAGGACTCAAGTCCGACTATATGAAAATAACCGGTTTCCCTGAATCCCTTCACTAAATATTACCCTGCTCACACTCCAACAGATCGTCAGGTCCCAAGTATCATTCGTCTCCATTCACTCCTATCTAACACGCTCATGCACGCTTGCTGGAAGTCCAAGCCCCTCGCCCACAAAACCTCCTTTACCCCCTCTTTCCAACCCTTTCGAGGACGACCCCTACCCCTCTTTCCTTCCCCTATAGATTTATATGCTTTCCATGTCATTCTACTTTGATCCATTCTCTCTAAATGACCAAACCACCTCAACAACCCCTCTTCTGCCCTCTGACTAATGCTTTTATTAACTCCACACCTTCTCCTAATTTCCACACTCCGAATTTTCTGCATAATATTTACACCACACATTGCCCTTAGACAGGACATCTCCACTGCCTCCAACCGTCTCCTCGCTGCTGCATTTACCACCCAAGCTTCACATCCATATAAGAGTGTTGGTACTACTATACTTTCATACATTCCTTTCTTTGCCTCCATAGATAACGTTTTTTGACTCCACATATACCTCAACGCACCACTCACCTTTTTTCCCTCATCAATTCTATGATTAACCTCATCCTTCATAAATCCATCCGCCGACAGTCAACTCCCAAGTATCTGAAAACATTCACTTCTTCCATACTCCTCCTCCCCAATTTGATATCCAATTTTTCTTGATCTAAATCATTTGATACCCTCATCACCTTACTCTTTTCTATGTTCACTTTCAACTTTCTACCTTTACACACATTCCCAAACTCATCCACTAACCTTTGCAATTTTTCTTTAGAATCTCCCATAAGCACAGTATCATCAGCAAAAAGTAACTGTGTCAATTCCCATTTTGAATTTGATTCCCATAATTTAATCCTACCCCTCTCCCGAACACCCTAGCATTTACTTCTTTTACAACCCCATCTGTAAATATATTAAACAACCATGGTGACATTACACATCCCTGTCTAAGACCTACTTTTACCGGGAAGTATTCTCCCTCTCTTCTACACACCCTAACCTGAGCCTCACTATCCTCATAAAAGCTCTTTACAGCATTTAGTAACTTACCACCTATTCCATAAACTTGCAACATCTGCCACATTGCTCCTTTATCCACTCTATCATATGCCTTTTCTAAATCCATAAATGCAATAAAAACTTCCCTACCTTTATCTAAATACTGTTCACATATATGCTTCAATGTAAACACTTGATCTACACATCCCCTACCCACTCTGAAGCCTCCTTGCTCATCCGCAATTCTACATTCTGTCTTACCTCTAATTCTTTCAATTATAACCCTACCGTATACTTTTCCTGGTATACTCAGTAAACTTATTCCTCTATAATTTTTACAATCTCTTTTGTCCCCTTTCCCTTTATAAAGGAACTATACATGCTCTCCGCCAATCCCTAGGTACCTTCCCCTCTTTCATACATTTATTAACAAAAGTACCAACCACTCCAACACTATATCCCCCCCTGCTTTTAACATTTCTGTCATGATCTCATCAGTTCCAGCTGCTTTACCCCCTTTCATTCTACGTAATGCCTCACGTACCTCCACCACACTTACATTCTGCTCTTCTTCACTCCTAAAAGATGGTATACCTCCCTGGCCAGTGCATGAAATTACCGCCTACCTTTCTTCCTCAACATTTAAAAGTTCCTCAAAATATTCTCGCCATCTACCTAATACCTCCCTCTCCCCATCTACTAACTCCCCTACTCTGTTTTTAACGGACAAATCCATACTTTCACTCCAAATTTTTTTCTTATTTTCATTAAAATTTCTTGACAGTGCCTCTCCCACTCTTTCATCTGCTCTCCTTTTGCACTCTCTCACCACTCTCTTCACCTTTCTTTTACTCTCCATATACTCTGCTCTTCTTATAACACTTCTGCTTTGTAAAAACCTCTCGTAAGCTACCTTTTTCTCTTTTATCACACCCTTTACTTCATCATTCCACCAATCACTCCTCTTTCCTCCTGCCCCCACCCTCCTATAACCACAAACTTCTGCCCCACATTCTAATACTGCATTTTTAAAACTATTCCAACCCTCTTCAACCCCCCACTACTCATCTTTGCACTAGCCCACCTTTCTGCCAATAGTCGCTTATATCTCACCCGAACTTCCTCCTCCCTTAGTTTATACACTTTCACCTCCCTCTTACTTGTTGTTGCCACCTTCCTCTTTTCCCATCTACCTCTTACTCTAACTGTAGCTACAACTAAATAATGATCTGATACATCAGTTGCCCCTCTATAAACATGTACATCCTGGAGCCTACCCATTAACCTTTTATCCACCAATACATAATCTAACAAACTACTTTCATTACGTGCTACATCATACCTTGTATATTTATTTATCCTCTTTTTCATAAAATATGTATTACTTATTACCAAATTTCTTTCTACACATAGCTCAATTAAAGGCTCCCCATTTACATTTACCCCTGGCACCCCAAATTTACCTACTACTCCCTCCATAACATTTTTACCCACTTTAGCTGTAATTATATTTTAGTTGTAGTTATGATTATTATAATTGCTGATTTTTAAATATAATTACCCTGATTTTATTCAGTGTAATTGAGTATCCATAAACTCTTGTCTGGTGTCCATGTAGAGATAATTATCTAAACCAGAACATGGTTAAAGGAATTCTGTTAGGAGAATGTCTGAAAATTGAATACTTACTGTAGTTTGGTAAGTTTTCATATTTCTTTGTAAATACAGTGGACCCTCGGCTAACGAATACATTGCATAATGTTAAATCCACCCAACAAAGCGTTTGAGTGTAAAAATTTTGGCCTGGCTAATGATAAAAAACTCGCCCAACGTGATTTGTCCAGTACGCGTCCACGTGTGGCCTGAGCGCGCCTCAGCTGCTCCGTGTGTGCCAGTGTTTACAAGCCAGCCAGTGTGGTTGCATGTACGCATACATTTGGTACATTTCATATTATCACAGTGTTTTTAGTGCTTGTAACTGCAAAATAAGTCACCATGGGCCCCAAGAAAGCTTCTAGTGCCAACCCTGTGGTAAAAAGGGTGAGAATTGTTTGGAACTGAAGAAAAAGAGAATTGCAAAGTACGAAAGTGGAGTGCGTATCTCGGAGCTGGCCAGGTTGTATACCAAACCCCAATCAACCATCGCTAGTATTGTGGCTAACAAAACGGCAATCAAGGAAGCTGTTCTTGCAAAAGGTGCAAGTATGTTTTCGAAACAGAGATCGCAAGTACTCGAAGATGTTGAGAGACTGTTATTGGTGTGAATAAACGGATAGATGATTTAATTAAAAAAATGCCTACAACTAGTGGTGATGGAGAGTGAATTTAAGGCCAGTAAAGGTTGGTTTGAGAGATTTAAGAATCGTAGTGGCATACATAGTGTGACGAGGCATGGTGAGGCTGCCAGTTCAGACCAGAAAGTGACTGAAAAATATGTGCAGGAATTCAAGGAGTACATAGAGGCTGAAGGATTGAAACCTGAACAAGTGTTTAATTGTGACAAAACAGGCCTGTTTTGGAAGAAAATGCCTAACAGGACCTACATTACTCAGGAGGAAAAGGCACTCCCAGGACATAAGCCTATGAAAGACAGGCTTACTCTTTTGTTGTGTGGTAATGCTAGTGGTGATTGCAAAGTGAAGCCTTTATGTGTGTATCACTCTGAAACTCCCAGTGTGTTCAGGAAAAACAGTGTCCTCAAGGCTAATTTGTGTGTGATATGGAGGGCAAACAGTAAGGCATGGGTCACTAGGGACTTTTTCTATGACTGGTTTCACCATGTGTTTGCCCCCACTGTGAAAAATTACCTCCTGGAAAATAAATTGGACCTTAAGTGCCTCCTGGTATTAGACAGTACTCCTGGTCAGCCTTCAGACTTGGCAGAGCGAATTTCTGGGGACATGAGCTTCATCAAAGTCAAGTTTTTGCCTCCTAATACCACTCCTCTCCTGCAGCCCATGGACCAGCAGGTCATTTCAAACTTCAAAAAAAAACTCTACACAAAACTCTACAAAAAAGTGCTTTGAAGTGACCTCAGAGTTTTGGAAAGATCACTTTAGTATCCTCAGTTGTGTAAACCTTATAGGTAAGGCTTGGGAGGGAGTGACTAAGAGGACCTTGAGCTCTGCCTGGAGGAAATTGTGGCCAGAATGTGTAGAAGAGAGGGATTTTGAAGGGTTTGGGGCTAACCCTGAGAAGCCTATGCCAGTTGTGGAATCTATTGTGACTTTGGGGAAGTACCTGGGGTTGGAGGTTAGTGGGGAGAATGTGGAAGAGTTGGTGGAGGAGGACGATGAGGAACTAACCACTGATGAGCTGCAAGAGCATCTGCAACAGCAAGAGGCCAGACCTAAGGAAACTGCTTCAGAGGGGAGAGAGAAATTGAAGTTGCTTACTTCAAAGATTAAGAAAATGTGTGCAAAGTGGGTTGAACTGCAAACCTTTATGGAAAATCACCCTAACACCGCTATTGCAAGCCGTGCTGGTGACTATTACAATGACAATGTTGTGGCCCATTTTAGGCAAATCTTCAAGGAACGCGAGGTACAGACCTCTATGGACAGATTTGTTGTGCGACATAGGTCCAGTGACTCAAGCTGGTCCTAGTGGCATTCAAAGAAGGGAAGTAACCCTGGAAAAGGACTTGCTACCTCAAGTCCTCATGGAAGGGGATTCCTCTTCCAAACAATAGCTTCCCTCCTCCTGTTCAGTCAATCATCACCAAATCTTCAATAAAGGTAAGTGTCATGTATTCTTTATTTAGTACAGTAGTAATTGTGCATGTCTCCTTTTTGTGTGTAGGAAAATGTATATTTCATGTGGTTAAAAAAAAAATTTTTTCATACTTTGGGGTGTCAGGAATGGATTAATTTGATTTCCATTATTTCTTATGGGGAAAATTAATTCAGCTAACGATGATTTCGTCTAACGATGAGCTCTCAGGAACGGATTAATATCGTTAGCGAAGGGTTCACTGTACTTTACTTTTTTTTTTTTTCACTGTAGATGAAGAAGAAAGTTCGGTTGCTTCCCCTGCTGGAGAGAATGCCAGTGAATCTATGCATAGATTCCTCACGTTTCTTGGTGACTTAACCCGCTACATGTTGGATCTTCCATCTCCCCCTCCACACCATTTTCCTGTTCGCTACTATTTGCAGGTTAGTTCATTTGGTAATTAAGCATTACAGTGTTTTGGATTTTGAAAGCAGTTTTTTCGTCTACACTTTTATAGATTAGTAATATGCAGTACAGTTATTATACAAGGGCACAACAGAATCCTGTTAAACATTTTGCTCTCTGGCAGGATTCTCGCCTTTGTCATATGGCAAGTAAATCTTAAAAATGTTAGGTTTTGAAGTACTATCTGTCATGCATACAGATATCATAATTTTACTGATTTGTTTTTACCAAAGTTATAAAAATTGGTATTTTCACTATAGCTACAAGCTGGAAACTTATACTAAATACATAAGTTGAAGTCATTGCATTTATATCTTATCAAGATGACTTGTTTATTGATCAAAAAAAAAAAAATTGCCTGTGAATGTTTTGACATTCTAGGCTCTGCACTATTCTCCTGAGGGTGGCCTGACTCACAGTAACTTGGCCACTGTCTATACTACTGCTGACCAACCTCTACTGGCCACAGCACACTACCTTAGAGCGTAAGTTAAAATTTTGTGTGTCATGTTGAGCGTGCTTTTTGCAAATACAGTACATTATTATACACTCAGTAAGTATTATTTGAAGAGAATTCCAATGGTATTTTTTAATTTGCCATTTCGTTGATTTTTCAAGTACAGTGGACCCTCTGTTTTCGTTAGCCTCTGATTTCAGGATTTTCGGTTATCACTGACTTCTTTTCATCAAAATATAGTCTGTTTTCATTCATTCCCTCTGGTTTCATCGGTTGTACGGACACATCATCAAAATATAGTCTGTTTTCATTCATTCCCTCTGGTTTCATCGGTTGTACGGACACATCCAAGTGCCTGCATGCACACAAAGCCTCCCACACACCATTCTGAGTCAGTGTGGCATTGTTTATCAGCGAGTAAACATTACCCTGTGAGGTTGTACGAAACATTTTGTAATAATCCATTGTTTTTTGCGCTTGTTTATTGTGTGCGACTTCTAAATAAGCCTCCATGGGCCCAAAGAAAGCTCCTAGTGCCAGCCATATGGTAAAGAAGGTGAGAAACACGATAGAATTCAAGAAAGAACTCGTAGCAAAGTACCAAAGTGGTGGAGGAAGAGAAAGGGTAGATTGTGCCATCTTCAGTGATTCTACGATATGTAAGATACTAAAGCAGCAGGAGTCGATAAAGGCTATAGCACCAGCCAGCGATAAAGTGTAGCATTAACAGTGTAGCAAGTAAGTAAGTGATTAAGCGATAGAAAAAGTAAGACTCAAAACTAACTAGCTAACTATATTGTTGTTGGAGGTATATAGGGCCACTGACAAGATGTGCCACCGTGCATATCTTCCACCACCCTAAACCAATACCAACATCTCCTCCAAGATAAGTGTAAATATTTCTTATTTATAAATTATGTATGTACGTACATTGTTTCAGTGTGAATAGTGGTGGTGGCCTCTGCTGCTGCCACCATCTCCACTATATGTTCAGCTTATGTTGTCAGTGGCCCTTATAAACCCAACAACAACACAACAACAACAACACACCACCACCACTCCTCGCATACGTAATGACATATTTTATCAATTCTAGAGTATATATCATGTTTCTATTAACCCTTTGACTGTCACAACCCCAAATACTGAGGTGTCTCCTGGTGTCGCAAAATATTTGAAAAACAAAAAAAATTCTTATGAAATGATACAGAATCTTTTCTCGATGGTAATGACACCAAAAGTATGAAATTTGATGGAAAACTTACAGAATTAGCTCTCGCGAAGTTAGCGACCTCGATGACATTTACGCATTGATGATTTCGCCTACTTTGAGCCCTATTTTCGATCGATTCCATTGTTCCAGTCCACCAAACTCATAGCTGTTTCTTTAGAACTCCATTTGTTCTATCGATTGGGTACAAGAAACTGCCCATTTACCGATTTCAACTACCCTATTAAGTGGTCAGAAATTGGCAATTTGGCCAATTTCGTGCAAATTAACCCTTTCAGGGTCCAAGGCCCAAATCTGGAGTCACGCACCAGTGTCCAAGATATTTAAAAAAAAAAATGTTATTTTTTCTTATGAAATCGTAGAGAATCTTTTTGTGAACGTAATAAAACAAAAAGTACGAAAATTGGTGGAAAATTGACGAAATTATGCTCTCGCGAATTTTGATGTGTCAGCGATATTTACGAATCGGCGATTTTGCCGACTTTTACTCCTATTTTAGGCCAATTACATTATTCCAATCAACCAAATTCTTAGCTATTTCACTAGTATTACTTATATTCTGTCGATTGAGCACAAGAAATCGCCAAGTCAACTGTTTCAACTACAAAATAAAGTGATTGGAAATTGTTAATTTGGCCAATTTAACACAGAGTTCAAAATATTCCAATTTCAAAATAGGGTCCAGAATGAACAATGTAGGCATTCCTGGCACTAAACTAACATTTCCTCTGTTCATTAGTTATGTTTTGAGGCTTTACAAATAAATTCCATTTTGATTTTTTATTCACATAATGAATTTTTATTCACACCAAAAAATAGAAGATTTACTGTTATGCAATACTGTAATAATTGTATAAATATCACCATATTTGTGAATGTATATTAGACCCACCAGCTGATGTGTATTAGACGTGTGAGGTCGTTTGTTTACTCTTGAATATCGGCAAAAATTTAACATTTCCGCTACTTTGAGCTCAGTTTCAAGCCATTTCCAATGCTAAAACCAATCAAAATCATCTCTATTTCTGTAATATGACTTCCATTCTATCAAATGAGACCAAGAAATCGCAAATACAACTATAAAAAACATACGAAAAAACACTGCAAAGTTGCTGTTTTAATCGAAAAATCATGATTTCATTTTTTTTCTCTCATTATGCACAGTGTGCTGCAGGATCTGTTTTATGTGGTGCACACATACCACATAGATGTATTCTCTCATATCTAGGCCCAAATGTACCACTCACAGTTTATCAGAGTGAGCTGAGCTCATGGCGTAGATCTACGGTTTGGACCCTGAACGTAAAGCCGTAGATCTACGGGACGGACCCTGAAAGGGTTAAAAAATGTCAATTTCAAAATAGGGTCCCGAATGAATAATACAGACATTCCTGGCACTAAAATAACATTCACTCTGTTCATCAGTCATGTCTCCAGTCCCCTAATATAATCCTCTTGCTTTCTATTTTGAATTTTTATTCACACAAAAAATAGAAGATTTACTGTTATGCAGACTACTGCAATATTGTAATAATTGTTTAAATAATGTCAACCCATTCATGACTGCATGTTAGAATCGCTTGTTGGACATTTATTGGACAATGCTTACTCTTGAACATCAGCAAAAATTGAACATTTCTGCCACTTTGAGCTCCATTTCAAGATCCTTTTCATAGTAAAACTAATCAAACTCACTTCTATTTCCATAATATGTTTTCCATTCTATCAAATGAGACCAGGAAAACAAGAATACAACCATAAATACTATACGAAAATACACCTCAGTCGGCAGTTTAATCCAGAAACACTGTTGGAGTATTTTTTTTTTCTCATGCACTGCATGCTGCAGGATTTTTTTTATGTGGTGCACACTGACCACACAGACCCATTCTCTCACATGTGGGCCTACCAGCTTTCTCCTGCTTGATTTGAAGCCGCTAGAATTTTTGAGTATACAGTGGACCCCCAACCAATGAAGGTATCGTCTAACAATAAATTCAACTAACGATGCGTTTGAGTGTAAAAAGTTTGGCCCGACCAACGATGAAAAACTCGACCAACATGGTTCGTCCCGAACTTGTCCATCCAGCCTGAGTGCCTCAGTTGCCCTGCCTTCAGATAGTGTGCCATTGTTTACAAGCCAGGGCGGATGGTTCCACGCATACACTTGATACATTTTGTATTATTCCATTGTTTTTACTGCTTGTAACTGCTAAATAAGCCACCATGGGCCCAAAGAAAGCTTCTAGTGCCAACCCTGTGGTAAAAAGGGTGAGAAATACTATCGAAATACTATCATACCACAGTCAGCTGGTGCTGCTGTACCATGGTCAGCTGGTGCTGCTGTACCATGGTCAGCTGGTGCTGCTGTACCATGGTCAGCTGGTGCTGCTGTACCATGGTCAGCTGGTGCTGCTGTACCATGGTCAGCTGGTGCTGCTGTACCATGGTCAGCTGGTGCTGCTGTACCATGGTCAGCTGGTGCTGCTGTACCATGGTCAGCTGGTGCTGCTGTACCATGGTCAGCTGGTGCTGCTGTACCATGGTCAGCTGGTGCTGCTGTACCATGGTCAGCTGCTGCTGCTGTACCATGGTCAGCTGCTGCTGCTATACCATGGTCAGCTGCTGCTGCACCACTGTCAGCTGTACTACTCGAAGATGTGGAGTGTGTGTTGTTGGTGTGGCTTAACGAGAAACAATTACCGAGAAACAATCAACTCCAGAGGGTTAGTCACCCAGGATAACCCAAGAAAGTCCATGCGTCATTGAGGACTGTAACTTATTTCCATTGGGGTCCTTAATCTTGTCACCCAGGATGCAACCCACACTGGTAAACTAACTCCCAGGTACATGAAAAAATGCCTGGAACTAGTGCTCATAGTGGTGAATTTAAGGAGAGCAAAGGTTGGTTTGAGAGATTTAAGAATTGTAGTGGCATACACAGTGTGGTAAGGCATAGCAAAGCTGAAAAATTTCAACTCCAACAAGTGTTCAGTTGTGACAAAACAGGCCTGTTCTGGAAGAGCTCAATGGACAGATTTTTGGTGTGACAGAGGTCCAGTGACTCTCAAGTTGTTCCCAAATTAATACACCTCCATCTCCCCCCCTCCCATCTCATCAATACATTTTCAATAAATGTAAGTGTCATTTATTCTTCATTTAGTACAGTACAGTATTTATTGTGCATGTATCCTTCTTTTTCTGTGTAGGAAAATGTATATTTCATGTGAAATATTATTTTTTTCATACTTTTGGATGTCTGTAACGAATTAATTGGATTTCCATTTTTCTTATGGGGAAAATTAATTCAACTAATGACGAGCTCTCTGGAACGGATTAATATCGTTGGTCGAGGGTCCAATGTATATACGTCAAACACAATGGCTCGTAAGACGTGTATATATATATATACGACTAAAACAGTCAAAGGGTTAATATTGTTTATTATGTCATATTAGATGAATTGTGATAGATAGATAAATAAGTCGTAGAGTTGATATTAGCATCACATTTAAGCATTTTGTCTTGTCTCCAAACAATACTCTCCTCCCTCCATATGCCAACAAGACTCTTCAGTGAAGGTATAAGTGATTTAAAAGTTCATTTATCAATTTCATTAATGCTTTATATTTATTTCCCATTGTTTTCTGCATGTAAAACTATAGTTATTCTCTATAAAATGTGTTTTTTGTTAATACTTTTGGGTATCTGAAACAGATTTGTTGATTTTCCATTATTTCATGATTTTCTGGTTTCGTCAGACTCTCTGGAACGGATTAATCACGAAAACTGAGGGTCCACTGTATAAAATTTTTCCTTCCCTTGCAACTCGTTATGTACACTTCATAAGTTTTTGTTGGTAAAGTGTTTATTAACTTTGTGTATAACAGCTTTCTCGGAGATTATGATGATCATAAGGCATATTTTGTGGGTTATCAGATGTGAAAGATTATTTGCTTTATTATGTTTTACTGTAATTAGTTCATGGATATCTTGACATTTTTTAGTTAACCTTTTAAATTAACATTCCGTAGGCTAACGTGTGAGAAGAATGTTGAAGGAGCGGAGGGTAACCTAAAGAGACTGCTGGATAAGAGTCGAGCCATCTATGAGAACGTAGTTGAGGATGGCAATGATGAGCCTCCCTCACACCATCAAAGAATGTTTCTGCATACCCTACTTACTCTTGTCTCCTGTTTTGTTAATAACAGAGCCACTGAGGAAGTTGCTAGGGTAAGTGTACAAAATAATCTTGAAGCTAAATAATTGTGTACATACAGTAACTTATCCCTCTTCATTTCCTTCTTAAGGTGTGAGATATGTTAGTGAAAATTGCTGCTTTATAGAAATTAGCATTACTTGAAGTGAATAGCCTATGGGGAAAATAGGGTTATGTTCTGTTTTGTACAGATTACTACTGTTTATCTTACTTCTAGTTGCTTGTTGATTTGGAAGTGTGTGGAGAGGGTTTGATGTGGCCCTACTGGGATGTGGTGGATGGCTGTGGTTCTTGTTAGTAGTTGAATTTTGTAGTGGAGTGCTCAAGTATTCTGTAATAGTCCATAGTCTACTTTTTCCGTGCAATACTTTATAGAGCTGACGAAGACGTCATTGATTGCTCCAGATTCCACTGAGGAACAATTCTTCCTGATGTGGCTCCTCTCCAGTGAAAAAATCTAAATTTGCCAGCAACAGAATTACTTGCAGAACTGTTTAGCTCCAGGTGGTTCTTCTTCACTCTTTCATCTGCTTCTCTTATAACTGGGGGTTGAGCTCCTTAACAAATTTTCTGCAGTTGGTTTTTCGTCATCCTCTTTTAATTAACGGTTCATGTACAACTTCATGCATATCTTTAAAACCTTCATATCTTACTACATGTCAGAGCCACAGTTTTCTAGACCTAATTCATTTGTAAGGAAAAACCAGAGAAATTATTTGCCACAGATGGCCACAATTGACTCATCTTGCATTTACAGTTAACTGGGGCACTTCATCCTGTAGCACCTTTACTTATTTTTTATTATCACACTGGCCGATTCCCACCAAGGCAGGGTGGCCCGAAAAAGAAAAACTTTCACCATCATTCACTCCATCACTGTCTTGCCAGAAGGGTGCTTTACACTACAGTTTTTAAACTGCAACATTAACACCCCTCCTTCAGAGTGCAGGCACTGTACTTCCCATCTCCAGGACTCAAGTCCGGCCTGCCGGTTTCCCTGAACCCCTTCATAAATGTTACTTTGCTCACACTCCAACAGCACGTCAAGTATTAAAAACCATTTGTCTCCATTCACTCCTATCAAACACGCTCACGCATGCCTGCTGGAAGTCCAAGCCCCTCGCACACAAAACCTCCTTTACCCCCTCCCTCCAACCTTTCCTAGGCCGACCCCTACCCCGCCTTCCTTCCACTACAGACTGATACACTCTTGAAGTTATTCTGTTTCGCTCTATTCTCTCTACATGTCCGAACCACCTCAACAACCCTTCCTCAGCCCTATGGACAACAGTTTTGGTAATCCCGCACCTCCTCCTAACTTCCAAACTACGAATTCTCTGCATTATATTCACACCACACATTGCTCTCAGACATGACATCTCCACTGCCTCCAGCCTTCTCCTCGCTGCAACATTCATCACCCATGCTTCACACCCATATAAGAGCGTTGGTAAAACTATACTCTCATACATTCCCCTCTTTGCCTCCAAGGACAAAGTTCTTTGTCTCCACAGACTCCTAAGTGCACCACTCACCCTTTTCCCCTCATCATTTCTATGATTCACCTCATCTTTCATAGACCCATCCGCTGACACGTCCACTCCCAAATATCTGAATACATTCACCTCCTCCATACTCTCTCCCTCCAATCTGATATCCAATCTTTCATCACCTAATCTTTTTTTATCCTCATAACCTTACTCTTTCCTGTATTCACTTTCAATTTTCTTTTGCACACCCTACCAAATTCATCCACCAATCTCTGCAACTTCTCTTCAGAATCTCCCAAGAGCACAGTGTCATCAGCAAAGAGCAACTGTGACAACTCCCACTTTGTGTGATTCTTTATCTTTTAACTCCACGCCTCTTGCCAAGACCCTCGCATTTACTTCTCTTACAACCCCATCTATAAATATATTGAACAACCACGGTGACATCACACATCCTTGTCTAAGGCCTACTTTTACAGGGAAATAATTTCCCTCTTTCCTACATACTCTAACTTGAGCCTCACTATCCTTTACTTATGTAATTGTAACTGCAATGTGCAGTTGACGCCAGAACTCTGGCATGCCTGTCTTGGAACAGTCATTCATTACTGCAATGAGTTGTTTCATTACTTTGCATGTGTAGTGGCACTTAAATGACTTAATTCTTTGAGCCAGTGGCTCTGTCAAAGATGTATTGGGTGGTAAAAGCACAAATTTCGCATTTCAGTCTATAGACAGCAAGATTGGAGGGTGACTGCAAAATTATCAAGTGAGGAGAACCTTGAAAGCAAGGTACTTTCTGGCTAGGTATATCTTCACTGCATGCATAAATTAGAGTTTACTGTGCTGTTTTCAGTGGTGCTAGATACGTACTTGGCTACTTGAAAGTAAATTCACTGCATAGATGTATGTTTGTGTTAATACAGTGAAGAGCACAAACTGTCTTCATGATGTTGGATGTTTAGTTCTCACTGGGGAAGTACTGTTAGTGTCTATTCTGCTAAATGTAATTAAAGGCATTTTGATACTGTCTCGGTTGTAAAACCTGGTTGGTTCATAAATTTGTTGTATGTTTCCTATCTCAAGAAGTTTAGCACAGCAGCATATGTGGAACAGTTAACCCGTAAACGGTCCTAACGTACATATGTTTTTTCAGCATTTGAAAGTATGTAAAAAAAGTAGATCTTTTTTTTTTTTACATTTGAAAACGTGTAAAAAAACATTGATCTAATTTTTTTTTTTTTTTTTTTTTTTTTTTTTTTTTTTTTTTTTTTGTTATATTTGAAAATATGTAAAAAAGTATATCTACTTTTGGAGCACTACGCTTATGAACGTAGATCTGCTTGGACCATTTATGGGTTAATAGCAAACCCACAAATTAAAGAACTTTTCAGTGTTGCCTTGTACTCGCTGAATACTTTGATTGGTAAATGCAGTTAGTTCCTACACTCTTTAAGTGGTCAATTTGCCCTTATAAAACACACACTGTAAATAAAAGATTTTATGTAGGATGTTTATATATTTTTTTTTTTTTTCAACAAACTGGACATATTCCACCAAGGCAGGGTGACCTAAAAAGAAAAATTTAATTTATTTTTAAATTTAGTAATTTTTACAGAAGGGGGTTACTAGCCCATTGCTCCCGGCATTTTAGTCACATCTTACTACATGCATGGCTTACGGAGGAAGAATTCTGTTCCACTTACCCTTGGAGACATTTTTATAACAAGTGACAAAATCAGTTGAGGTTAATTTTAGCCTCTGTGCCACTCGAGTTAGTAAAGATTTCGTAAATACCTGTGTCCCATGCATATTTAAATTAATTAGTGATCCATATTGCTAATTTTACAGCTGTGTCAGGATGTGCTAGTTCAACTTGGAAAAGTGTTGGAAACTTATGATGATGCTGATAATGAGACTTCAGAGAGAACTCCATCACCTGCAGGTTCACCCCCAAATGGCCATGTACCCACTTCACTGCAAAATGGATGTGACTCTTCAGTAGAAGCTAAAGAGAAGATTGTTTTATCATTTAGCCTGACTCCTGAGGCCATGGTGGCTGTCTGTGCTGTCTTATCTATTTGCATTCAAAGGCTCAAAAATCAAGGTAATTGCATGTAAGGACAGAAAAAATCCTAAAGCCATTACTTCAGTTACTGTGCCATCTGTTTTGTAGGTCTTTTTTCAGTGTTACTTTTAATTGAAAGAAATGTGTTCATCTGTTTTTTCTCAAGACTAATGACTTTAAACTCTGGGCTATTGTAATTTTATCTGGTACTCGTATTTATCAATGAAATGGTATAACTGAATCAAAGTTAAAAGATGCAGCCAGCACCTTGAGCTCTCCAGAATGTCCATGTTAAAAGTATTTTCATGTATTGACTATTTTCTTCCCAGTGTCATCACACACAAGTATGGCCCAAGCTCTTCTGGTCTCGGTCTTGATGACTCTCGTTTCCCATGTGACTAGTAGACTAGAGCAACGCATATCACTGGTTGACCCCTCATTCTTATCAAGGCTTCTTCCTGAAACAGAAAAGGTATGTTATGTTGCTATAGCAAGTCAATTTATGCAGATGTTCAAGGTTTACCAGTATATAGGCAGTTTAACCACTTGAAGGTAATAAAAATGAAATGTTTCAATTGTATCCATCATATTCAAGAAATGTGAGAGATCGCAAAAGTTCTGGGAATTTAATTACCCTTCTTTCAACAAACCGGCCGTATCCCACCGAGGCAGGTGGCCCAAAGGAAAAAATGAAAGTTTTTCCTTTAAATTTAGTACAGTGGACCCTCGGGTAACGGCATTAATCCGTTCCAGAGAGCTTGCCTTTAAGCAGTTTTGCTGTTAGCGGAATTAATTTTCTCCATGAGAAATAATGGAAATCCAATTACAATCCGTTTCAGACAGCCAAAAGTATTAACAAAAAATATTATTTTAAAGATTAAATATACATATACAGTGGACCCCCGGTTCATGATATTAATCTGTTCCTGAGAGCTCATCGTAAACCAAAATTATCGGAAAGCGAATCAATTTTCCCCCTAAGAAATAATGGAAATCAAATTAATCCGTGCAAGACACCCAAAAGTATGAAAAAAAAATTTTTTTACCACATGAAATATTAATTTTAATGCACACAAACTGAAGAAGACATGCACAGTTACATGACACTTACCTTTATTGAAGATCTGGTGATGATTGATGGGATGGGTGGAGGGGAGAGTGTGGATGGTCTTAGTGTTTAGAAGGGGAATCTCCTTCCATTAGGACTTGAGGTGTTGAGTCCTTATCCTGGGTTACTTCCCTTCTTCTTTTAATGACACTAGGACCAGCTTGAGAGTCACTGGACTTCTGTCGCACAACATATCTGTCCATAGAGACCTGTACCTCTCGTTCCTTTGACTTTCCTAAAGTGTTTCACAACATTGTCAGTGTAATAGTCGCCAACACGGCTTGCAATAGCTGTGTGAGGGTGATTTTCATCCATAAAGGTTTGCACTTCAAGCCACTTTGCACATATTTCCTTTATCTTTGAAGTAGGCAACTTCTTCAGTTTCTCTCTCCCCTCCTCCGAAGCAGTTTCCTCAGGTGTGGCCTCTTGCTGTTGAAGATGATGTAGCAGCTCATCAGTGGTTAGTTCTTCATTGTCCTCCTCCACCAACTCTTCCACATCCTCCCCACTAACTTCCAACCCCAAGGACTTCCCCAATGCCACAATGGATTCCTCAACTGGCATAGGCTTCTCAGGGTTAGCCTCAAACCCTTTGAAATCCCTTTTGTCTACACATTCTGCTCACAGTTTTTTCCAGGCAGAGTTCAAGGTCCTCTTAGTCACTCCCTCCCAAGCCTTACCTATAAGGTTTATACAATTGAGGATATTGGGGCTCTGGTGGCCTGGTGGTTAACTCTCCCGCTTCACACGGCAAGGGCCTGGGTTCGATTCCCAGCCAGAGTAGAAACATTGGGCGTGTTTCTTTCCACCTGTTGTCTATGTTCCCCATTAGTAAAATGGGTACCTGGGTGTTAGTCGACTGGTGTGGGTCGCATCCTGGGACACTGACCTAATTTGCCCGACATGCGGAGCATAACAAGGGGCTTTCTATGTAGTAATATGTCATTGTTGTCAGCTAGGCCTGTATACCTTGTACTTGTAGTAAATAAAGATATTATTATTATTATTATTAAAGTGATCCTTCCAAAACTCCTTTAGAATCAATAGAGTTTCTGTGGTCACTTCAAAGCACCTTTCAAACATAGCTTTTGTGTACAGTTTCTTGAAGTTGGAAATGACCTGCTGGTCCATGGGCTGCAGGAGAGGAGTGGTATTAGGAGGCAAAAACTTGACCTTAATGAAAATCATATCCCCAGAAAGTCGCTCTGCCAAGTCTGTAGGATGACTAGGGGCATTGTCTAATACCAGGAGGCACTTAAGGTCTAATTTCTTTCCAATTAGGTAATTTTTCACATTGGGGGCAAATGCATAGTGTAACCAGTCATAGAAAAAGTCCCTAGTGATCCATGCCTTACTGTTTGCCCTCCACAGCACACACAAATTAGCCTTAAGGATATTCTTTTGCCTGAACGCTCTGGGAGTTTCTGAGTGATACACCAATAAAGGCTTCACTTTGCAATCACCACTAGCATTCTTACACATGAGAAGAGTAAGCCTATCTTTCATAGGCTTATGTCCTGGGAGTGCCTTTCCCTCCTGAGTAATGTAGGTCCTGCTTGGCAATTTCTTCCAAAACAGGCCTGTTTCGTCACAATTAAACACTTGTTCAGGTTTCAATCCTTCAGCCTCTATGTACTCCTTGAATTCCTTCACATATTTTTCAGCTGCTTTTTGGTCCGAACTGGCAGCCTCACCATGCCTAATCACACTATGTATGCCACTACGATTCTTAAATCTTTCAAATCAACATTTGCTGGCCTTAAATTCACTTACGTCACCACTAGTTGCAGGCATTTTTTTTACCAAATCGTCATGCAACTGCCTAGCCTTTTCACAAATGATCGCTTGAGAGATGCTATCTCCTGCTATCTGTTTTTCATTTATCCACACCAATAACAGTCTCTCAACATTTTCTAACACTTGCAGTCGCTGTTTCCTAATCACAGTTGCACCTTTTGCAAGAACAGCTTCCTTGATTGCCATTTTCCTGGTCACTATAGTAGAGATGGTTGATTGGGGTTTACTATATAACCTGACCAGCTCCGACACACGCACTCCACTTTCGTACAGTGGAACCTCAAAAATCGAACGTATCAAATATCGAACGTTTTGAAAATAAGACCATTTTTTTTTGGACAAACTGTGTCCCAATTATCGAATGTGCCTCTAATTTCGGACCGCCAGGTACGGGACCTGTCCGCTGGCCCGCTCTGTCCGCGTCCCCGCGCAGGCGCTGTGAGCAGTCTGGCTTTGTTTATGCTTGAGTGAACACTAACCTGCGCTCTCATTCACACATTTTACGATTATTTCGTTGTGTTTAGTGCTTGTGGGACTGTGAAATAAGCTGCCATGGGCCCAAAGAAACTTGCTAGTGGTACCCCTGTGGTAAAGAAAGTGAGAAACACCATAGATGTTAAGAAGGAAATAATACAGAAGTATGATAAATAACTCCACAGACGACTGTGGAGTTATTTTGTGAGACAAACTGACGATTGTGGACAGTTATTTTGTGAGACAGAAACAGACGACTGTGGACAGTTATTTTGTGAGACGGAAACAGACGACTGGACAGTTATTTTGTGAGACAGAAACAGATGACTGTGGAGTTAATTTGTGAGACAGAAACAGACGACTGGAGTTATTTTGTGAGACAAAAAGACGATTGTGGACAGTTAATTTGCGAGACAGAAACAGACGACTGTGGATAGTTATTTTGTGAGACAGAAACAGAGGACTGTAGACAGTTATTTTGTGAGACTGGGGTCCAATGACTCTCAAGCTGGTCCTAGTGGCATTACAATACAGAGAAGGAAAGCAACCCCAGAGAGGGCTTTGATACCGGAAGTCCTCAGGGAGGGGGATTCTCCTTCCAAACAGTAACCCCAACTCCCTCTCTCCTCCTCCCCATCTTCCAGATGCCATCACCGATCTTCAATAAAGGTAAGTAAAAATGTTACTTTATATTACTATACATAATTAAAGACTGTAGCATTTGTTGTGTGTATGTAAAACTGTAATAAATCTCTATAAAATGTATTTTTTTTTGTGAATATTTTTGGGTTTCTGGAACGGATTAATTGTATTTCCATTATTTCTTATGGGAAATATTGCTTCGAATTTCAGACTTTTCGAATTTAGAACTAGCTCGTGGAACGGATTAAGTTCGATTTTTGAGATTCCACTGTACTTTGCAATTATCTCTTTCTTCATTTCAACAGTCATTAGCACCCTTGGTCTCGAAGGGTTGGCACTAAGAGCTTTCTTGGGGCCCATGGTGACTTACTTTGCAGAAACAAGCACCAAAAATAGTGATAATATGGATAATATGGAATGTACCGAATGTATCCTTAGATGCACGCACACTGGCTGGCTTGTAAACACTGGCACACACGGGGCAGTTCAGGCCACATGTGGACACGTCTCTATGAACCGCATTGCATACTGGGTTTTGTAACGGGAACTGAGGCAAATTCTCTGCGATATAATGCATCGGTTACCGGATTTATCGGATACCGATAGCATCGTGAACCGGGGGTCCACTGTACATACAGAAAACAATGACAGATAAATATAAAGCACTAATAAAATGGATAAATGAACATTTAACATCACATTTACCTTTATTGACTCTTAGTGTATGGAAGACGAGTAGGAGGCAAGAGGAAGAAGAGTTTATTATGCTTCAATATGACACTAATATCATCTCTACGGCTTACTTATCTATCACAATTCATCCAATATAACATAATAAACAATATTAATAACATAGAAACATGATATATACTCTAGAATGAATAAAATATGTCACAATGTATGAGAGGAGTAAGTGGTGGTGGTGGTATTGTTGGGTTTATAAGGGCCACTGAAAGAAGCTGTACTTATTACTGGTGGTGGAGGCAGCAGCAAAAGCCACCAACACTATCACACCTAAACAATGTATGTAATTTATAAATAAGAAATATTACATTTTAATTTATAATAAGAAAGATTTACATTTTAATTTATAAATAAGTTTATTCAAGTATACACAAATACAGTTACGTACATAGATTGTCATACATAGCAGCATATATTGACACTAATATTTATTTTTATACATACACTTTTTAGTAGTAATAGACAGCAACCACCCAGGGAAGTACTACCATCCTGCCAGATGACTGTGAAACAGAAACCTGTAACTGTTTTACATGATGGTAGGATTGCTGGTGTCTCTTTCTGTCTCAAACACTCTAGATAACAGGGATATCTTGCTACTCCTACTTACACTTTGGTCACACTTCACAGACACACACATACATATATATATATACATACATCTAGGTTTTTCTCCTTTTTCTAAATAGCTCTTGTTCTTCTTTATT